CATCTGGTATGTGTGTGTGTGGCAAATACTAGCTAAGGATTATAGGGATTGAATAGGTGAATTTATGTGATTTAGTGTGTGTGGCTCCAGAAGAGCCGTGACGAGGTCGGTGTGTGTGTGTGGCCATTACAGGCCGAGTGTGACAGTGTGAGTGTGTGGTTAGTGTGGCATCTGGTGTGTGTGTATCTGGTAGAGACTGGCCGAGCATGGTAGGGATTGAGTAGGTGAGCTTATGTGATCTGGTGTGTGTGTGAGTATGTGTCGCCTCTATGGCTGTGGTGGCAGGTTGGGTGATGGATATGCGGAGGGCTTTCATTGGCCAATAGTTGTATGGAAGGAAGTCGTGCTGTGCAGTACTTTGTGTGTAGGGGTGGCCTGTATAGTCTGTTGGTTGTAGTTGAGATGGAGGTGGACTACGTGTGTGTGTGGCCTCTCTAGGTCGAGCATTATCGATTTTGATGTGGACTAAGGTGTTGGTATGTGTGGTCTTTACAGGCCGTTGTCCCAGGTTAGACATGGATAACTTGTTGGTTGGATGTGTGTGTGTGTGGCCTTTCTAGGCTGGGCATTGCCGATGTTAGTATGGGCTGGGGTATGTATGTGTGATCTTTACAGGCCATTGACCCTGGGTTATTAAGGGATAACTGACTGAGTGGTGAATGTGGGTGGCCTCTCTAAGACAGAAAAGTGGGAAGGTGTGGGTGTATGGTCGGTAAAGACTGATTAGTTCCGATATTGAGGCTGAGTAGTGGACATAGACGAATTGTGAATGTGTGTATAGGCCTTCAGGACTGTAGTTACAGGCATTGGGTGTAGGAGTATTTCGGTGTTAGTAGGAGTAAGCAGTAGGTGCAATTAAGTAGATATAGGGAACGGAGTTATAGGGAAATGACTATCTTAGGGTAGAGATAGGAGAGTGGATAGGCGGGAGTGAGGGCTAAGTGAGGAGTGTTGGGGTGGGAAGTTTCTTGATTTCTATACTGTTAGTCTTAAGTCCTACATTTTTCTTACTGGGCCTATTGATACTCATTACCGTTGTTTTCAAATGTGTTATATCAGAAGTCGAAATCGAAATGCATAGTGATGGAGCCCCACACTTATGGAATGGATGAACACTAGTATAGGATGCTAGTTTGATATACATGAGTGCACACACTTTATCAACATCGAGATTATAATTATTGTAACATGGAACTATGCGAATTAACCATGCACTCTCTAGATGTTTAATTGAAAAGAGTTGATAGTTACCTTTGTGGAATCTAATGATAGAAATTTGTTGCATGATAGAAGATATTCCTGAATTGGGATGATAGGTGGTGGGAATGCCCCATCTTTAGGACGCAGCGTTACATATATATTTATAAATGTTATAGTACATAATGTTAAAATTATTATGATAATTTTTTTTTTAGAGATACCGAGAATAAAATTCAAATTTAACTCGTCAACTTTATATATAGCAAATATAAATGGGCATAGATTTTTCTTATCACTAATCACTAATTATATATAAATTTTATTTGCATCTATTAATTTTGTGTTTTGTTTTATATAAAATGAACTTTACAAATAATTTAAAATTGTTATAATATAATAGGTAAATTTACTATAATGTACTATATTTTTATTTAAAAATTACTGAATATACTTTTTATAATTGACGTATTTAAGTTCAAAAATATTATGATTTCTTCTTATAATATGATATTTATAAGGGTTGTATCATAACATATAATTTTGTTTTCAGAATTTGGTAAATTATCATGAATGTTTAAATTTTAAAAAATAATGATAATATTAATCTTTGAGGTCAGTGTGTCAAAAACTAATCACCTGCGCACAAATGGAATATATGAGGTCTTGATTAAAGAGCTTATCATTAATGGAATGACATTATTTTTAAGTTCCAAAATATGTATACCCCACTTTTGATGGTAACCAATACATCATTTTCCAATAAGTCACTCCAGCCCACAAAAACCACCCAACCCCTACACAGGCTGAAGAGTACGTACACCCACCTGCAGAAAGCCGAAAACTAAGAAGACAAAAGTCTTAGCACCGAAAGACAACCCGATCATCTTTAGAACCACCACACGTACGAATTATGCTTTTGAAAACCCTCTAAGATCCCCATTGGGCCGAGGAAGAGCAGAGACAGGATCCAACAAAATTAGACACTTGTCTTGGACCAGCATAAACATCATCTTCCCTATCCATACCCAACTTGGCAGGCCCATCTACCAGGAATTTTCTCTCTCTGACTCGTCTTCACAAAAGAAACTGACCCAATATTTCTTAATCAGGTTTTTTTATTCCATTCCCCACATTCATTCAATTTCCAATTTTCTTGTATTATTATTATTTTTTCTATACTACTCCCCCCATTCTCCCTTATTATATTTTACTCCAATTTTTTATTTGAGATTAAATTATTGTTTTTCTTAATTCATTTAGATTTCTATCATTTGGGAATTTGATTTTTCAAATTAGATTCACATATTTTTTTTTCCTTTTACAGAATTCTAATAACATTGATTTTTGGTTTATTAAATTTTTATTTTTAAATAAAGTAAAATATAGCACAAACTATAATATTAAAATAAATATATATTTTCTTGTTTTTCTCTAAATTTTTATCATATACTTTATTTATTTATTTTAATTAAATTCTATTTTTCCTTCCGTTTTCTTACACTCGTCAATGCGCTCTTTCGTCCTTTGCCACGACTGTTTTAAACTTGGGAATTACGCATGGGATCATACTTTTGAGGACGACGACTCGCGCACTCGTCACCGCTGAGTCGCTTCAAATCTCGTCGCCCGGCATTAAACTTTCTCACTCTATATCCTTACATTCGCTTCGTTAAAATGTTTTCTTCTTCTCCATCTTCATCTGCAACAGATGCAGAAACTCTCCGGCGCAACCGCATCCTCTCCAGCAAGCTCTACTTTGACGTTCCTCGCTCCAAGGTTTGTCTATCTGTTAATTCAGATATATTTAAATTCTGCTGAATTTAGGTTTTATCACTTTTTTACTGACAGTTTCGACAGAGCAGGTTCCGTTAATTTACTCATCTTCTTACGATATCGCGTTTCTTGGCATAGAGAAGTTGTAAGTATATCTCTTGGTTTTTTTTTTTTGATCAAATGCACACACAAGGACAATAACCTGTATCCCTCCTGTAGAGAAACCAGAGATGACTAAGCGGGCTAGAAGCCCTCGTAATACTTTTTCGATTTCATTTATGAAACTTTCAGCTCATTTATTTGCTTATGATTCCATTTTCCTGTTTTATGGTCATTTATGATTACTTTACTTGACGGTCAGTTGGTTGTGTTCCCTTTTTGGCTTTGTAAAAATGGTTTTGGTTGTTATTAGTGTGGCCCGGTGAATTACTGTGGATTAATAAAGGAAGTTAATTGGGCTAGAATTATCTCTAGTTGGTACGATTGTGGATTCAATTCATTTTAGCGTGCGGAATGCAAGTTTGTATGGTTTCCACATAATCCATATTGTTGGCCGAAAGCAGATTTTCTTAAATTGGTTGAAAATATACTTTAACTATCAGGACCCTAGGGCTATAAGCCCAATTATGGTACATAAACTCATTAACTGTCTTATATTCTGGTACTAGATGTAATTTCATTCTAGCACCTACTTTCTGCTTCTATCAAGTAGGTAGAGAGAATCGTAAAATGAACTTGAACCTACAACGTCAATCATGAGTACTAGTTATTTAGCTGTTAGCTTTAAATATTTATAGAATGATAATTTTTTAAAAATTATAGTCCACCAGTTAAAACACTAATTGGAACCTCTTATACTTCCGATCTATATACATTGCAGAGACTTCTCAGATCTCTTTTACCTGCCAACAAAATTAGAGGTCGAGTTATACTTCTCTAGTTATGTGCAATTTTCAGTCAAAAGTAAATTATTGGCATAAGTTTACCTATGTTTATACGTTTGTGAAGGAAATTGTGTACGTGATGCTCATTGTCGGAATTGATGTGATGATGTTGAATAGATTGGGATATTTGCCTATTTGGGCCTAGGATATATTGGTTAGACCTACATATCAAAACTTAGGGGTTAGTGTTTGATGGTTATGAGATAGTTGGAGAAGTTTTGGAAAAAGTGGATCATGTGAAGTATGCATTGCAGAATTACTGGGTTCATTGGCAACATAAAACTAATTTATTTTTGATTTTTGATAAAAGAATGCAGTATGGACTGGAATCCTCTTGTTCTCTTTATAGACTCTTGTGTCGTTTAGATTTTTCTAAAAACACTAGAATTTTGTTGTTTTGTTTCCCTTTTTTGGGATGTAGGTGGTTTTTAGAGGATTTTTTCTTGAGGCCAAAACATTTAAGGTCTTCATTGAAGAATCATTAGTTATCTCGGATTAACATATTGAATTCACTAGAGGAAAGAGATTCATAATTTTTTTTTTGGTTGAGAGTGAGTTAAGTGGTTGTTAAGCAACAGCAGGATTTTGAGAACCCTGTGGAAGGAAATCAATTGATAGTCCTGTAGGGAGCAAAAAAAACACTTTTTGGTGGATGTGAAGGAAAGAACTCTTAGGGTTGTTTTTCTGCTAATAACAGAATATTTTTGGAGGAGCAAGGAGGAACATTATTTTTATCCCTAAAGATGAGGGTATTGGTTGGAGGGAATTCACTCAGGTTGTTAAGAGTCTATCTTCCTCTACTTGAGCTGTCTGCGGCAAACACTATATTGAAAAAACAGGAGTAGATATGTGTTTCTTTCATTATACTCCATTGCCATAATTCACACAAATAGCTGGAGACAAATCTTGATTAGGTGTATGAACTTGCTATAGGTTGTTGGTGTCTAACTGATTAAGAACCACGGTCGATGCAAATACCTTCACTTTAAAAGGAACTTTGACTTGCCAGAATGCCTTGGTAAATCGACTATGGTAGCAATCAAGGTATTTGGTTATATGGTCAAAAAATGACTGACAGTATATGTGACCAAAGATTCTAGGGTACATCCCCTGCAATTAGGCTGTTGGGACGGTTGGAAAGGCTCTAATAAGCTCATCATGGTATAGAAGTTCTTCCGTTTCTCTATCACTTAAATTGTGAAAAAACCAAAAGTTCTAATTTACATTACCTTTGGTAAGGCTGAAGAATTGGTTAATTGGGGCTTATGGCGTGAGGCTAGGCAAATAAGTGTTAAAATTGAGTACTCAGGGGGGATGTGGTATGAAATTTTTATTTTACCCTCAATCTATCAGATAGGGGAGGTTCTTGAGCTGTAGTTTTCACTTCCAGGTACCAGAATTTGGACCTTGGATTTATCACGGTCATACATTTGTAAGTCTTTTTTTTGAATATCTCATCAAACATCATACCCCTAGCTGATTTCATATCGCCAATTTGTTTTGGGAAACACTACCTCCTTCAAAGTTAAAGGTATTAGTGTGGACAACCATACGTCATAAACTCGACAATAATGAGATGTTAAAATCTGAGCCCGAACCATGGGCTCTCTCCAGACATCTGCGTAATATGTTTTGGAGGACAAGAGGCACGTTCTCATTTATTTTTCCACTGTGAAGTTGCTTTGAAGTTTTGGACTCAATTGTTAACTCTCTTGGCATTATGTGGATAACTCCTATACTTGAAAGCTCTTAAGGGAGTATATTCAGGGTGATGGAATGAGAAAGGAAGCTAAGCCTTTTACGGCGAGGGGCTATTTATGCCAGTTTATAGACTATATGGCTTGCATGAAATCAAAAAATCTTTGACAACTGAAGTACATTTTTTCATAAGATATAGGAGAGGGTGACTTTTTTAGCGTCATTTTGGGTCAGGTGCATGGGAAATTGTTAGACCTGCCTATTTGTAAACCCCTTTGGAATTGGGAGGTTATTATTTTCTGTCCTTAATTTAGTATAATTTTTATGTACTTTGTCTATTTGTAAATTTTTGGCTTGCTATAGTCTATAACTTCTGGAGGATATCTCTTTTTCCTCTCTTTGTATCTTTTTCGTCATACCTTATCTTGTTTTTCTATAAAAAAATTTTTGTACTCAGGGGGTGGTCACCCCTCCAGTGATGCTACCTAAATAGAACCTTGGAGCAATCCCCCACATGGTATATGCTGAGCAGAGTGTAGAGCCGCAACAGGGTGGAGATGGCCTTTCATGGGCTTTTTTGTTGGGTGGATCTTTTGCACCGCATCTCGCTATTCCACAAAACCCCGTCAATACTTTTGATCACTTTATGCTATAAGGAATTTGGTTCATGCGGAAAACGCTGCAACTATTTAATCAATAATCACAAATTTCTAGATTTTAGGTACCCGATGCTCAAATCCCAAAAGCTCTAGCTAGACTTGCAACATACCCTCTACTTTACTAGGTGATCTCTTTGCGTTTCTCCACTCCCTGTGCATAAAAAATCCCTCTTCGCTCCCTCTAACTGCTCAATCACTCTAATTGGTACCTTAAAGAAAAACGTTTGGTATATTAAGGTACTTTGATAAACAAGCCTGAACAAGTGTTACTCTATCCTCCACGTAAAGTAGATCCTCTTTTCAATTCTGTAACTGTATAGACACTTTATTTATCACCCTATCCGAAATGATTTACACTAGGGGTTGTTGCCGAAGTGGACACCTAAATAAGTGATTGGCCACGATAAAGTTGCGCATCCTATAACCTCAGCTAGGTTACACACTATACTATATGCCACATTTATTCCCACCAAACCACTCTTGGTCATGTGAATATGGAGACCAGAAATATGCTCAAATACCTTCATTAATGTGAGCCCATTAGTAATAGATGTGTTATTATGTGATACAAATAGTATTGTATCATCTGCAAATTGAAGGTGAGACACCTCAATTCTATCATTGCCAATCACAAATTCTTCAATTGCTCCTCTTTCCAAACTCCTAGTAAACATTCTACTTAGTTCATCAATTACCAGGGTAAAAAGAAATGAAAAGGAAGGACCTCCTTGTCGGAAATCCTGAATACTCTGAAATCACTTTTGTGCCTTGCTGATCACTATGATCACAAATGGGACTGAAGATAAACACCTTTTTATCCATTCTCTCTATCTAGATCCGAAACCATTTTGATCCATCACTAGACACAAGCAGCCCAATTCACCTTACCTATACCGTTTTTAGGACCAATGCTTCATTTGGCAAAGTTTAGTAATTCTTCCTTTTGTGGATTACCATGCCTAATTGGTACACCCCTTCTTTGGGATTCTTGTTTTCTGAAGCATTCTTGTTTTCTCACGATCTCAAGTTTTGTGGGCTTAAATTATTTAGAAGGCAAGTCTAAGTTTTTAAGTTCTTGCTGGCTGTTGCTTCAGTATTTCAAAACTCAGTGTCTGGTTTTTCTTAATGGGGAGAATGATGTGTAATAGGGATATTCTATAGTGGATATATTTTACTATTATGAGATATTCACATGATTATAGTCTTTATGTATTATTGGGGACATTTTGCTTATTTAGGAACTACTAAAATAGACATTGACATAATAATTCTTTTCCTAGTTAGTTAGATGTCTTATTTTATTATATTTTTCACTTAGAAATTCTATTCATTTTAGAATATACGGACAGCTTATAGTACATTGTTAATCCATCATATTATTTAATAGATTGCTTACGAAAAAACTACTGATTCGAGTGTCTAACAACTCAGTTATGGCGATTGTGACACTTCGTGGTTGTGGTTCTTGCCGATTCCCATGATTATGGATTGAATTTATTTTTATCTTTTCTTTAATTATTCTTAATCTTTCTAAATCATTTTATCATGTGCTACATCAGTATGGTTCTGAAGTTGATTTGCTTTCATACATGTGATTGATGTAGGCACCCATTTGATTCTTCGAAATGGGGTCGTGTATGTCGATTTCTCATCGGTGATGCTGTTTTGAATAAATATTCTGTTGTTGAACCCTTGGAAGCTACAAAAGATGACCTCCTTGTGGTAGTTTACTGATTTTATGTCGACTTCACTTGTCTTATTACAACTTGGTGTGTTGCCCAATATTTATTCAGTATAGAATTCCTTGTCCCCTCCCCTTTCCTTTTCTGACTGGAGCATTCAGACTAACTAGTGACCTTTCAATAGGTTCATTCAGAATCATACTTGAATAGCCTGAAGAGTAGCATAAATGTCGCCATGATAGTTGAGGTAACTTGTTGGCATTTTCTAGTAAAAGTTGTCATATTTAATTACCTTTTTTGAGATTGCTATTTATGTCTTTGAATTCTTGAATATTTGGTTTCTTAATTTGTTGTGTATCCAAAGCTGTAGTAAGGTCTCCAACCTTATAGGTACAAGGAATCTGTTACACTTCCACATACCTTCTATCTTGTGAGAGAAAAAGTAAAGGTTTTCTTTTTGTTTTTTGTTTTAGAGGGTGTTTAGTTTGAAATAGAAGAGCTTATAAGTTGTGCGCTAGATTAGCATTGTATGAGCTTTAAGTTCTTGAAAAGTTCTGTTAAACGTATGCTTATAAGTTGTTATTTAATTTGATAAATTTATAAGAAGGTAATAGGAACGTTTCCAAACTTGAAATAATTAAGTTTGAGCGTAAATAGTCTTTTAATTTTGTCAACTAGAATGCTCATGACCACCTCAGAAAAAAAAGGCTATCCTCTACCAACTCTCAAATGCTGTCACAAATACTAACTAACCATAAGCGAACCAACTTATGAGCTAAAGCCTTTGGGGAGCACATCTGCAAAATGAGAGTTGGTTGGTATATAGGGTGTGCAGATCAAGTCATTGCCTAGTTTTTCTTTGATGAAATTTCTATCAACTTCACTGTGTTTGGTCCTGTTATGTTATTTTGATTATGGACAATACTGATCGCTAATTTCTGTTATAGTGAAATCATCAGACTATTTTGCTTAACCTTCAAATCTTCCAATATAGTCTTTAACCATAACAGCTTGCAAACCCTTTTTGCGATTGTTCTGAATTCTAATTTTGCACTGGATTTTTTGCTGTCACATTCTGTTTCTCACTTCTCCGTACGACAAGATTTTCTTCAAAGAAGGTACAGTATCCTGTGGTAGATTTTTTATCCTCTAATGACCCAACATAGTCAGCATTAGTGTAGACTACCAGTTCAGTCTAGTATTCTCTTTGAACATATTGCTGCCTGGGTTCTTTCTAGATAGTGCAATCAACTTGTGGTTGGGATCTATTTGTGTGCTTACAGATTACATGCTAGTTTGCGTTTATTTTTTAACAGATCATTAGTGTACTTTTAGCGGGAGATGAAGATTCCTTATTTTGAGTGAGCAACCTCAATTATTAGGAAGTATTTCAGTCTTCCTAATTATTTTATCTCAAATTCCTTTGTCAGACATTATTTGGTGTCAATCTTGTCGTTATTTTCTGTCATAATGATATCATCAACATACACGAGTAGGGTTGTGAATCTGTCAAGTGTTTTGACATGAGTTCTTGAGGTTCCTAGATAACAGAGAAGAGTAAGATTAAGATGAGAAGAAAAGTAACATGTTGGTTAATATATTCTACTGTGCAAAAACACTTTGCTGTGGTCAGTAATTTTATTTTCTATATATTAAAAATAAATTGTCTTAATATATTTATAATATCTAAATTATAATGTGCAAAATTTATTTAGTAATTTTCGTCAATTAGGTAACAAATAATTGGATAATTTAATTGATATACTATTAGTTTTCCACATCAGACCACTTTCCTATCCTTCTGGCTTCAGATGGCATTCAGTGAGGTCCTATCCCCTTTCGCCTAGACAATTTTTTGGTTAAGGCTTGACAATTCAAATCTATGGTGATAGACTGTTGGAACTCCACACAGGTCAGTGGCACCATTAGTTACAGAATTGCATATAAACTCAGAAGGCTGAAACCAGAGATTAGAACATGGGCTAAAGTCACTAGCAAGAAAGAAGAAGAATATGTTAATGAGATTTTGCAGGAGATTGATTTGCTAGACAGGAAGGAAGAAATTTCAGTACTCTCCCCGGCTGACTGGGAAAAGAAGAATGTGCTTAAGACTGATTTGGCTAACCGTCTTCAGATGGAAGCTACCCCCTGGAAGCAAAAGTCCAGGAAAAAATGGATCAAAGATGGTGATAAGAATTCTAAATATTTTCATTTGTTAGCAAGCCATAGAAGACGGGTCAATTTCGTGGATGAACCCATAATTGGGGATAACTGTATCAAGGGTAATGGGCCCTGAGGGAGGAGGCCTGAGCTCACTTCCAAAAACTGTATTCTGAAGATTTCTGCTACAGGCCGAAGTTTGATAATCTTAACGTCAGTAGGCTCGGTGAAAGGGAAAGAGCTCAATTGGAAGAAATTTTTACTGAAACTGAAATCACTGAATATCTTTGGGATTGCGATGGGGATAAAGCTCCCGGGTCAGATGATTTCAACTTCAAATTCCTCCAAACATTCTGGGAAGTCACTAAAAGTGACATCATTGAGTTCTTCAACAATTTCCACAATCACAGCTCTTTTGAAAGGTCTCTAAACTCAACCTTTCTTGTTATGATTATCAAGAAAAGCAATCCCAAACATATAAATGACTTCCGGTGTATCAGCCTTGTTGGATGCATTTATAAATTGCTCTCTAAAGTACTGGCTAAACAACTATCCAAAGTCTTAAATCAAATTACTAGTGAATGCCAACATGCTTTTGTTTATGGCCATCAAATCTCCGATGTTATCTTAATTGTTAGTGAGACAGTGGATGAAGTAATAAGACACAACAAGACTGGCATTTTATGCAAATTCGATATGGAAAAAGTTTTTGATCATGTCAACTGGAATGTCATCGATTACATGCTCAACAGAATGGGCTTTGGTGCAAAATGAATAAGCTGGATCAAAGCTTGTATTTCTACAACAAGTTTTGCTATCATTGTTAACGGTGGTCCCTCCTCTTTCTTCAAGGCCACTAGGGGGCTGAGGCAAGGTGACCCCCTCTCACCCTTATTGTTTATTATTGTGATGGAGACTCTTAACAAGCTTCTGGAAAAGGCAAAAGAATTACAACTCCTAAGAGGAGTCACTGTGGGAAGCATTGGAAATCTGGTTGAAATTTCTCATTCACTCCATGGTGTTTTTGAGATGCATACTTCTCAGTTTTCAAGCTGTATCAGGATTCTGTATTAACATGCACGAATCAGAATTGGTAATGCTGGGTGATTCAAATTCTGGCAAGTCTCTAGTGCAGGTCTTTGGAGGCAAAAAATTCAACCTGCCAATCTCTTATCTTGGGATCCCCTTGGGGGTCAAGCATAATAATATCAGAAGCTAGGATCCTGTTATTGAAATGTGTCAAAACAGATTAGCAAATTAGAAAAGGAAATTTCTATCTAAAGGAGGCTGGTTGACCTAAAAGTACACTTTCTAATCTCCCTATTTACTACTTATCGATGCTTAATATTCCTTCTAGAGTAGCGAAGAGATTGGAAACAATTCAATGCAATTTCTTATGGGGTGGCAGAGATAATAACAAGAAATTTCACCATGTTAACTGGAATGAGGTCATAAAAACCCTCAAAGAGGATGGTCTGGGGCTGTGTTCTCTGGTTAATCTAAACAAAGCTCTTCTTGGGAGATGGATTTGGAGATTTTGGAACGAGAAAAACAGTTTATGGAAAAAGGTCATCAGTTGTAAATGGTTTAAGGGCAATCTATATGATCTCTCTATAATTAGGAAATACAACTATGGGTTGAGTCTATGGAAAAATATCATGAAACTTAGTGACAGTGTTCTTCAATGTTCTAAATGAATTCTTGGCAGTGGCAATAAAATTTGGTTGTGGGAAGATATTTGGTGTGGAAATGAGACTCTTCTATCAAAATTTTCACATATCCATGCTATTGCCAGGAACAAGGAATGTCGAATTTGTGATGTGTCCAGCTCTGATTGCCTGGGTCTGTGGCATATTTACGTTACAAGGAACCTTCAGGATTGGGAGGTGGAGGAATATGAAACATTGCTTCTTACTTTGTCCAATTTTCAGCTTTCAAACCATGATGATAAGTTAAGCTGGAAACTGAGTAAAAATGACTTGTTTTCTATCAAAACTTTTTACCATCACATAAATGGTTCTACCACTAACAGACAACGGGTTTCCCCCTAAAAAATAATCTGGAAATCAGGAGCTCCACCAAGAATTTCCTTTTTTGCTTGGGAGGCAGCCAAAGGAAGGATCTACTCTGACATTGATGAAAGAGCATAATACTGTGAACAGATGCTCCTCTGTAGAATTGAAACTTGTAATTATCTCTCTTGGTGTCTATATCACACAAACTATGCTCCATGGTTCTTGGATTCCTTGGCTTGTCATGGGTCATGGGAGCACTACTGTCGCTGAACTGTTGGCATGGGAAGGCATTAGTTGCAGGAAAAAAGCTGGCATCGTCCCTCTCACTATTGTTTGGGTTATCTCAGAGGAACACAATAACTGTGCCTTTGAGGGGAAAAAAGTAGATTTCAATATTAGAAAAAATAACTGATTTTATTATTTTGGCTTTCCTATCTTGGGCATAACCTTGATAGTATGGTTGATTTTGGTGACATTGTAGATATGCTAATTGACTTATAAATAATTTTGTATATGGGTGGTGCCCTCTTGGCACCTCACTAATACACTTCCTTACACTTTTATTTTAAAAAATTAAAAAAATTAATTATTTTAATTATATAAAGAAAGATTTTATATATTTGAATGTTATATATTGTTTGATTTGAATAAATTTTCACTTACCATGTAATTATATAAAAAATAGGATATATTTAAAACGATATATCATTTGTACTTTTAATTATTTTAAAATTTAATATATAAATATAGATTAATAAATTATAACAGTTTTAATATTATATTAAATAAATAACTAGAATTACTTTTTTTTGAGAATTATATCATATTCATACACATTGTAACATTTAATATAATCATTATAAAGCAAATTTGCTTTATGTTTATATGATGAAGAAATTTAATAAATATTTAGATAAGTAAACTTCTCGACTGTTTCTCTGGCTTCACGACTGTTTCTCTCTCTCTTTTGGCCGCATACGTTGATTTCCTCTGTGTATGTGTGTGTATCTTATAGCACGTTTTATCATCATAGCAAAGACTACAGGGAGTACATCTTCCACACATCTATGGGAGATGTAACTGTGAGCAGTAAATGACTTCTTTACTAGTTGTAATAGCTTAGGGATTCACATAGTATACATGGATGTCTGCCATTTTTTTCTTTGTTTAATACTTCGTTTTTTTCTTCCTGTAGAAGAATCTTTATCCTCCTCCCTTGTCCTCTCCCTTAATAATATCGCCTTTTTCTATAAAAACAATGAAGTAACTGATACTTCAGTGATGAAACTGGTGGTTATATTCAATTAGACTATTTGAATGTCTGTTCTAAGTAATGTAAATTTTTCCCTGATCGTAGCTGTGGATTATATTGGTGACTGATTCATAGAACTTTAATTACAGGTTCCCCCACTTGCTGTATTGCCCAATTGTCTTGTGCAGCAGAAGGTTCTTTACCCATTTCGGAGGCAGGTGAAATAATTTTTTTTTGGATTTAATTATCCTTCTCCTCCTTAAATGTGGTTATATTGATCATGTCCAACTGCAGGTAGGTGGAACTATTTTGGCAGCTAAGCTTGCAAAAGAGCAAGGATGGGCCATCAATGTTGGAGGAGGATTTCATCACTGTTGTGGTGAAAAAGGAGGTGGATTTTGTGCTTATGCGGACATTTCTCTCTGCATTCATTTTTCCTTTGTTCGGTTAAATATATCAAGGTATTTTATTTTTAGCACCCAAGTTTTATCAGCATTGGATTCCACATATGGGATTTTGTTGTTTCAATCTGGAAAATTTTCCAGGGTAATGATAATTGATCTTGATGCACATCAAGGGAATGGCCACGAAATGGATTTTGCTAGTGACAGTATGTGCTTTTGTTTGTCTCACTCTGTTTTATTTTTGCATCTTTTAGATTTCCCCAACTTGTTTTTGTATTACAGGGCGAGTTTATATTCTGGATATGTACAATCCTGATATATACCCTTTTGTAAGTTGCATGCTTTTGGATTTTTTCATGTTTAGATGCAATTTATCTATCCCGTTACTATGATAAGGTCTCTTTATCTGTTTCTGGTTAACCTCTCTCTCTCTCTCTCTCTCTCTCTCTAATAGGATTATGAAGCAAGGAGATATATTGATCAGAAGGTTGAAGTAGTGGTATGCTTTCAGCATGTCCTGATGGGTTTGGGACACTATGCTTCTCTTTGGTACTTGAAAGTATTTGTTTAATATAACATGTTGAGATTGATAACAATGTTAAATGATAATAAAAGATGATATGATCTTTAAAAGAAATGAAACAATTTATTATGTTCTGGAAAATTATTTTTGTTTATACTTGAGTACCACAGACACCTATGGTCTACATATTTTTATGTATAAACATATTGGATTTTAGGGAATGGGATTAGAAATATTTTTTTTGTATCAAAGGGTCATTAGATTTTTCATTATTCTCCATCCTAATCTTTTTCTCTTTCCAATGCCCTTAACAGAGTGGGACGACTACAGATGAGTACTTGAGAAGACTGGATGAAGCACTTGAGGTATATGTCTATTCATTGTTTTTATTTTCAATAGACTCCATCTTTATGTCCTATTGTCTTATTTGACCTGGTTCAAAATAAGGTTTCTGCTATGCCACGTTAAGAATTTAAGCTTATCAATTAACATGGTTTGTCATGTTTCCTATAATACTTTATTATTTGTAATTAGGATAAGTAAGTGTTTTGATTTTTTATTTCATATTAGATCTCTGCCCCATGTTCTTCTGATGTTTGTATTGCCTGCCATGCCTTTTGTTCCTCACAAATATTGGGGGAAATATAAAAAAACTCTTATGTACTGTTGATTGCTCATTTCACATTAGATCTCTGTCCCGTATCTTCTGATGTTTGTATTGCCAGCCATACATTTTGTTCCTCACAAATTAGAATAAGTGAACATTTTGATTTTTAATTTCATATTAGATCTCCGTCCTGTGTTCTTCTGATGTTTGTATTGCCTGCCAGACATTTTGTTCCTCACAAATATTGGGGTAATGTAAACAAACTCTTACGTATTTTAGGCTTAGAATTAATTAACACTTCACAATTTCAATTGTTAAAATTTACACCTTAAGGTTTTGAATTGCACATTTTGTTTAGCTTTAACTTAATAGGATTATTAGGGTATTGTTATTCTCTAAGCTTTTATTTAATTACATTTTCTCTTCTCTCAAGTCCTCTAATCCTGCTTCTCTTGTTTAGATTTGTGCCAGTTACTGTCTCCCTGTTTCATTTTTTGTTTCACCACATCTGCTCTTCCATTTATTCTTTACATATACATCTTATCTCGAAAAAAAAAAAAACTTTACATATTCATAGGAAAAGACTATCTGAGCTGGTCTCAATTAATTTGGATCATTGTAAAGGGAAAAGAAAAGCTCAGCCACCTTCTAGGTACTGGACAAAACCCGGAGACCCTGCGTTCATTGCCTAGAATAAGGAGGATTCCATAATCATGTCCATGGCTATAGAAATAAGCAAAATTGCAATGTTCCTTCCAACAGCAAAAGCGGTGTGAGATCAATCGGCAAACCTAATCCAAATTCAAGATGCCGCACAAATTTTAGATGTATTGCGTTAAATTATGAAAGGCCATTAAGAGGCATTGAAGATGCATTAATAGCCTTTTTAATTTTAGTGCTTGCAAAAGCAAAAAAAAAATTGTGCCCTTATTTTGATTATAAACCGAACTGGCTGAATAATTTCAGCTGGTTCAGTTTTGGTTTTATTACATATTTTGGCCGTTTGGTTCGGTTACCTGGTCAATTTTTTCAGTTTTCCAAAATTTTTTTATTAAACCGACCAAATTGACTTTTTTCTCAGCCCTGTCAATGATGTTTCCATAATATACCATCTTGCTATTGCATCTCCTGCCCTCCTGTCAAGTTTAATTTTATTTATGCTACCAATTTATTTTTGCTTCATAGCCCGTTATAAAGGCCCATGGTCCCCAGCATATTTAATCCCCAACCTCCAAGATATGTAGGTGGGATTATAGGGAGCATCCTTATAGTTTTGGTTTGGAGTTTGATTATTAAATTTAACCAGTTTTGTGGAATAAAACTGTTTGGACTTGTAGCAGTTGTTGCTTGGAAATGATTAATGTTCTTGCTCTCACTGATTCTCTGGCCAGTACAGATCCAATTTTAAGTTCTGGGAAACAGCTAAATCGAAATTACTTTTGTGCATATGTGGCATTTATGATTTTTGTTCTTAAATATTAGGTTGCTGCATCAAGGTTTGACCCTGAGCTGGTGGTTTACAATGCTGGTACGGACATCTTAGATGGAGATCCATTGGGGAGGTTAAAGGTAAATTTCTTCTGTTAGAAAACTAAAATAAAAATAATATCATACATGATGATGCTTCTTGAAGATAGATAGAGCCCCCGATTGTGAAAGGGATTTTAACAATTTTATCTCCATATTCAGCACAGTTTATTTTGATTCTGCCCTATTACAGTTCTGCACTAATTAATAGAAACTAAATAACTCTCAACCTCAAAGCGAGATGTCTTACTTTAGAAAGAATTTACATTTCTAAATTGCTGAATGGGGTTTTTGCTGTCATTGTTAATCAGTCTTATATATAGTTATGTTAACCAAATACGTGAAATGGAAATGGTAAATAATGATGCGCGATTATACGTGTTTCCATGACTTCTGTGATAACAATTATTGATATACGTTATGGCCTTTTAACATGGACTTTAATAGTACCAACATGCATCAATACATGCATGCATGCGGTTATATGCTGATTCATGCATTTAGGAAATGCAATGATGCATTATTATTACTTGAGTTAAATCATTTTGCAACACTCTCTTACTTGATTTAAATTATCTTAGCATATATAAGTTTATTACATCAAGGTTTGAACTTTTACATGGTGCAAATACACAATAGTTTTCTAGAGAATGTCATCAACTTAAAAGTTAAGAAAGTAAGTGAATAAACTTTGAACTTAAAAATCAAGTAGGAACTATGTGGATAAACGTTGGGCTTAGAATGCTTAAATTTGTCTTAGATGGACAACCTTCCAACTTTGAACTTACCTTGAAAACAAAGAGCCTCAATACATTCATTTTTATTTTTTTCTTACTTCTGCAGGTAGTATTGTTATAATCTGAGTTTAATCCTAAAATTACTAAATACTCTAGAGTCTTGTCAAGTGTCAATGTAACGACCCCGAAAATTTAAAAAGAAATACATATAATAATTTGAGTACGGAAGCGAAATAAAGTTTAAGATTAACATCCCTTACATGATAACTCAAAAATACTAACAAACATTACAGAACAATTCTCTGAAAGAAATACGAAAAATAGAAAAAATAAAGGAAATTATAAATTATCTAGCATCTATTTGTAACCTTCTTGCGGATCGGGCTCGGGAATCGGATCCTCCTGATTTGAAATTGTTAAATAAGGGGTGAACTATACTAACCCAGTAAGGACATCACAATATATCGCCGTCACAGAAGTAAAAGTTGATAGAAAACCAAAAACAACCAATGAAGCACAATTTTTAAACCAATACATTTATTAAAATTAAAACCATTTTTTATTTTTCTTACTCTTGGAGAACCTGCGAAAACAACCTATAAAGACAATAACATCATACAGATCATAACTTCATGCCCAATCAGTAACATAGAATATATTATAAATTCATATTCATTAACAATGACTAATTATCACCGTTTCTCATTTCACCAGCCTACTAGTATCCATGAGGGCCATAGGGGTGTCCCCGCTACACATGAATCCTTTTCATTAATAATTTTAATTCCAGCACCGTCCCCATACCCCGTCCGGTATGAGGGTGAAGCGGGTCGTCTCCATACCCCGTCCGGTATGAGCGCCAAGGCATTAAACCTCAATACCTCGTCCGGTATGAGGGTGAAGCGGGTTGTCCCTATACCCCGTCCGGTATGAGACAACGTTCATGGTAGGGTTCCCTATGAACCCGATCCGTCCACCATCTCCAAGGATATCTAGTGAGGCTGTCATTTTATCCATTTATCAGATCACATCTCATTCCTATTTGTTCTTAGTCTCCGTCACTAAATCAAACATAAATACATAAACAAGTAACATGCATCCAACAATGCAATCATATCTTAAATTCCCAAAATCAAACTGTAGTCAAATAAGACAGTAATACACGTATTTAAACCATACAATATGCAAAGCAGATATCATCATGCTTTTAGACTGTACAATAAATCAACAGTAATCGACAGAAAACAATGTCCGATTTTTGGCTCCATTAGCAATCCGTAATTAATCAAACACATCCATTTAATTTGTACAGAGGACCATATTATTATTTATTTGAACTTTAATTCCATGATAGGAAATAGGGTGAGGGGTCTTTACTTGATTCGACGCCGAAAACTAGATGGTTACTGCGCCTACGGGCGGTCCCTAGGTTCCCTGAATTTTTCTTCGGAAACTGAAACGCGCTTATGGTACCTACAAGTGTCCCAAATAACCCAAAAATCAGACCCAGGGCCTACTCGGCCAATTTTAGAATTCCGGCACGGCGGCTCCGCCACGCTTCGGCGACGGCGATCCTCCTTGGGTTGGTTGTTTTCGGCCAAATTTAGTCGAACTTGCATCGGTTCCTGCGAGAAAACACACTTAGGGCCCTCGGTGGGCCGAAAAAGTACAGAAAACTGAAACTCACTGGTGGTGGGGTTCTCTGGTGCAGTGACTTTTCTAGCTCACGTTGCGGTTAGGTGTTTTGCTTTGGTAAACCTGTAGAGAAGGAAACTGTAGTCACGACGGTGGAAAAATCACATCGAACAGGAATCGAGAAGGGCCTCATCAGAGGCATTTTTCGAAACACCTTGCGGCGCCGTCGCCAAGCTTTGACAGCTTTTTTCGGCCAATTAGCCGGTTCTTTCACTCTGATTTAGGAATGGGTGGGTTTAAAATTGAATTTCGTGCAAGAGGAAAAATTTTTACCTCGTTTGAAGGTCGAAAATTGCTCCGATACTGCGGCGGGTGGCGGCGGTCGACTCTTCGGCTACTAGGCTGTCTTCTCCGGCGAGGGGCTCTGGCAGCTAGGGTTAGGGTTTGGGTGCGGATGGGCTTATTTATACCAATCCGCTTTTGATCTGGACCGTCCATCACTTTTAATCTGGACCGTTCGATCACGATTAAATAGGGAGTGAATGTGGGCTGTTCATCGCGATTCAATTTGTGCCGTCTGTGCGCGATTCAATTTGGGTCGTCCGTGCGCGCGGGAACGGATCTCAGCCGTTCGATCGCGAGCACGCGGATCACCCACGTGGTTCCTCCCGCGTGGCCTCCCGCGTCAGCGCCTCTGCCACCTGGCACGTCCTGGTTGGTCGGGGCTGCTGACCGGGCAGCTGACGTGACGTAACTTTTCTAAATTGCGTTTTGACCCCTGATTTTTGATTTTCCTTTCAAAAATATCATCAGAACCCAAATTTTCTCTCATTTTCCTCAAAATTGTTTTCAATTAAATCCTTAATCAATTTTTACCATTTTTATTAATATTATTGTTATTATTTTCATTAAATCAAATTAAAATTAAATAAAATAAATTAAAATCATATAAATAATAATTATATTTATATAAAAAATAATAATAGTTAATAAAATAAAAAAAATGAAAGGTTGAGTGTTACGACTCTCCCTCTTAAAAGAAATTTGGTCCTTCAAATTTGCCTCTTACTCTTGATCGAACAGCTGGGGGTACTGGGCTCTAAAATATGATTATAGCTCTCATGTGGCCTCCCTTGGTGTGTGGTTCTGGCATATGACCTTCACAAAAGATATTTTCCGGTTGCGGAGTAATTTGCTCTTTCGATCCGCAATATCGACTAGTACTTCCTCATAGGATAAATTCTCCTGGAGTGGAAGAGATTCGTGGGTTAAGACATGAGAGGGGTCCGGGTTGTACTTGCGTAGTATGGACACATGAAACACATTGTGGACATTAGAAAGTTCTGGAGACAGTGCTAGTCTGTAGGCGGCAGTACCAATCCTGTTTAAGACTTCAAATAGTCCAATAAATTGGGGGTTCAGTTTCCCCCTCTTGCCGAACCTACTGATTCTCTTAAAAGGAGTGATCTTAAGGAACATCTAGTTGCCTTCCTCAAACGCTAAATCTCTCATCCGGGTGTCCACATAACTCTTCTGCCTACTCTGAGCCGTCTGAATGTTCTTCTTGATCTTAACTATTTTAGATGTAGTCTCCTCTACCAGCTCCGAGCCGAACAATTTTCTATCGCCTACTTCTTCCCAACAAATCGGCGATCTGCATGAGCGCCCATATAATCCTCATACAGAGCCATGCTAATACTCGCTTGGTAGCTGTTGTTGTAGGCGAACTGTATCAGGGGTAGATGGTCGTCCCAATAGCCCTCGAAGTCAAGGACACAAGCTCGGAGCATATCTTCAAGTGTACGGATTGTTCTTTCTGACTGTCCATCAGTCTGAGGGTGGAAGGCAGTATTGAGGGACAGTTTCGTTCCCATGGCTTGCTGAAAGCTACTCCAAAATCGAGAAGTGAACTTGGGATCCCTGTCGGACACCACTGTTACTGAGACTCCATGCAATATGACTATTTTCCTGATATACATTCTTGCCAACTTATCCAAAGAATCGGTCATCCTGATGACCAAGAAATGGGAAGACTTGGTAAGCCGGTTAACAATTACCCAGATGGTATCATGTCCTGAGCGTGCCTTAGGTAACCCTGTCACGAAGTCCATGGTGATATGTTCCCACTTCCACTCTGGGATCGGTAATTGCTGAAGTAACCCGCCTAGGCGCTGATGCTCTGCATTGACCTGTTGACATATCAAGCATTTAGATACAAAGTCAGCTATGTCTCCTTTCATCCCATTCCACCAAAACCGGGGTCGCATGCTTTGGTACATTTTAGTACTTCCGGGATGCATGACAAATTTTGAGATATGGCCTCTGTCATGATGTCTCTATTTAACTCACTGTCACCTGGAACACACACCTTGTTCTGGAATCGGAGTAACCTATCGGCGGAGACTCGGAATTTTGAACTAACTCCCTGTTCTGCATCGTTCTTGAGGGCTACTAGGGCGAGATCAGCTGACTGAGTTTCCCTTATTCTCTGGATTAACTCAGGCTGGACGGTAAGATGACCCAAACATGTGACTTTATTCAAGTCCTGAAGTCGAACTTGTTGTGTGGCCCCAATTTACCTTCATTCTGAAACTATCAAATTAGCTAAGATACCTGCACTTTTTCTGCTGAATGCATCGGCTACCACGTTGCCCTTACTCGGATGGTACA